CAAAATAAATCTAATTCAGTATGTCACTAATGAAAACATCACTCAGAGCTTTAACTTCACTGGATCCAGATTTCTGTTAGGACCTGAACCAGAGTTCAAATTAAATAAATATAGAAACGTGAACCAAATATTTCTTATAAATTACTGAAGTAATGTTTCTTTTATCGTTCAGGTTTGTTCGTCTACACTGGGTTTAATGTTGATTTCTCATTTTCACAGCTCATCTTATTTTTAACCAAACGAACGAGGCTGAATTAGTCATGAGATATTTTCTCCCTTCTGATCCAACGTGCGTCGTCTTTTCTGTCTCTCTTCCTCTCTTCGTGTCGTTCTTCTCTTTCTGTCTTTTTTGTTTTCATTTATCTCTTGTTGACAGAAGGGATGATGTTCGTCTGTCCCGTTCTCAAGATGTTAGCAGGAGGTGATTCTAGTTGACTCCTGTTCCTCCCTCAATCTGTTTCTTCTCGTCTTCTCTCTGCGGTCGTCTCTCTCTAGAAGTCGTACAAGGAGAAGTATAATCGTGAGAAGGGGAAGTCCAGCTACACCAACATGACGACGCTGCCCGAGGTGGAGCACGCCATGGAGGTCAACAGGAACCAGAGCGACGTAAATACACAGAACTGAAGTCAATCTTTTCTTCTGGATCAGAAACACCAACGTAATGCTCCTTGTTTTAATAACTAACTCACTACTGATCTCAGGTCAGCTACAGAAAAGATAAAGAGCAGCTTCATCACTACAACTCAGCACCAGACAGACCGGACATCATCAGCGCCACCAACGCTGCAAAACTGGCCAGCGACGTGAGTGTGTGTGTGTGAGAGGGGAGGGAGGGAGGGAGAGAGAGGGGGAGAGAGAGAGAGGGAGGGAGGGAGAGAGAGAACGAACATGTAGCCACAACATTTCCATTACAACAGTCTTGTTCACCAGCTGTTTTCTGGAGCTGCTGATGAATTATAGAAAACTTTCTGCTGTTAACACTGAACTGCCATTATAGATGTGTGTGTGTGTGTCTCTGTGTGTGTGTGTCTCTGTCTGTGTGTGTGTGTGTGTGTGTGTGTGTGTGTGTGTGTCTGTGTGTGTGTGTGTGTCCACAGGTGGCCTATAAAAGTAACACAAAGCAGCCAGTTTACAGCGACGTCTCTCTTTTGGCCAGAACTGACATCCAGCACGCCAAGGACGTTTCACAACTGGCCAGTCAGGTAACACACACACACACACACACACACACACACACACACACACACACGTGCGTCTCTCTATAGTTGTGAGGACACTCACTGACATAATGCATAACCCTAGACGAGGTGTCGTCACAATGATGGTATTGAACCAAAAGTGGCCTCATAACTATAGATATACAGCTGAAACGTCCCCTGTGTGTGCGCCCCCTGCAGGTGAAGTATAAGGAGAACTTAAAGGGCCAGAAGCCTCGTTACAACCCACTTGAGTGTGTCTCCTTCAAACACACACAAGCTGCCGCTGCTCTGGCCAGTCAGGTGAGTGGATCACATGGTTTTAACTTTACTCCAAAACACGTCCACTCACGTGTTTGTTGATGATTTCATTTTCCATCCTGAAAGTACGTCTTAATGGAAATCAATGCAAAGTCCTCAGCAGAAGGATGGCTGTGTGTGTGTGTGTGTGTGTGTGTGTGTGTGTGTGTGTGTGCGTGTGTGCGTGTGTCCTTCTCTTTGACTCACACTCTGAAATTCAGTCTGTTGTGTGGGTGTAACCATGGAAACCTTTCTAAAGCAAATGGCGAGGGATTGTGAGATGAAGGCTGGAGACACACACAAACACATGCACATAAACATGATCACACAAACAAAGTCCCATACAAACACACACACACACACACACACACACACACACACACACACACACACACTCCGCCTGCTGCCCACACAGCCACAGAAAAGAGTCGCTCCACTTCTCCTCGTTACATAACTTCCTGTTGTGTTGAGCGCTCGTTCGCTGCGTCTCAGAACCACCGGAGCAGCAGACTCTCAGCATCATGATATAAAGGGCAGGTCGTTTTTTTTTTTTTTTGGCTCAGGCTAAAACAGATTTTGGCATCGAGAGGGAGATCTTCAAACGATGGTGGATGTGAGGAAACACTGAATATTCACAGCGTCCACAGAGTGAACGCGGCTGCAGACGTTTGTGTCATCAGCAGAGATTGGCTGAGACATGACGACATGCAGCAAAACAAAATATCCTCAAGAGGGAAAGAGTCAATCAATGATTCTTTAACTATTAACTATGTAAAATAAAGATTGAATGAGTTCCTCTCGGACTGATATCACTTCCTTCCACTGTTCTCCGACGTCCAGCCTTTTCTACTGGTGGTGATCTGTGGGGTTTGTGTGATGCTGCTAACACACACAAACACACACACACACACACACACACACATTACGATGTAATTATCTGAGGCTCAGCTTCTAAAACATTCACCACTCATGGAAACATGTTCTCCGTCCCTCAGGTGAAGTATAAAAGCAACCAGAACCAGAAACCTGAGGGATCATCAGACCTGCCCAACCTCCTGCAGCTGGAGCACGTGCTGCACGCCAGCAAACTGCAGAGCAACGTACGACTGCGTGTGCTTCTCCGAAAATAAATAAATTAACTGTGTTTTCATTGGTTTGCATATATTCCTAACATATAAAGTTTGGGTTCTACTGTTTGTGTGTGTTTGTGTGAGATCAGGTGGAGTATAAGAAGAAATACGAGCAGAGCAAGTCCCACTACCACGTCGCCGTGGACACGGCTGAACAGCTCCACCACAGGGAGAACGCGGTGCTGCACAGTCAGGTCAGAGGACACTTCTGTCTGTCTCTCTCTGTCTCTGTCTTCCTCTGTCCTCTGTGTTTATCAGTGTGTTCGGTGTCTCAGGTGAAGTACAGAGAGGAGTATGAGAAGAGCAAAGGTCGATCTCAGATGGAGTTTGGAGACACTCAGACGTACAGAGTGTCTAAAGAAGCACAGAAGATGCAGAGCGACGTAAAACACACACTCTCTCTCTCTCTCTCTCTCTCTCGTTCGTTCAGCAGATAACAGATAAACAGACTCTCCACATCACAACATATTCATTAACGTATACCCCCCCCCTCTCCATATCACTCTCTCTCTCTCTCTCTCTCTCTCTCAGAGGGAGTATCGGAGGGACTATGAGGAGCAGGTGAAGGGGAAAGCGTTGCTGGACGTTGACCAAACGCCTGGATACCTGACAGCACGTCACGCCAGCAGTCTGCTGAGCGAGGTAACACACACACACACACACACACACACACACACACACACACACACACACACACACACACACACACACGAGAGTTATACCTGGAGCACACACACACAGTCAAATATATAACATCCACTTCTCTATGTTATTTAAATGTTTTCAGGAATTCATTCATTTTTCCACTCGTTTATTGAATCACTCACTCCTTCACTTTGTGTAGAAGGAGTACAGGAAAGACCTTGAACAGGAAGTGAAGGGGCGTGGCTTATCTGGCATCGGGCTGGAGGAAACGCCAGAGCTGCTGAGGGTTAAAAACGCCACTCAGATCCTGAACCAGGTAAAACACATCCCACACATGTACAGAAAATCCAAAGGCAGGTGACCCGACTGAAGCCAGCTGGTCTGTTCTGTGTCTCATGTTTGTGTAGCGGGAGTACCGCAGGGACATGGAGAGGGAGGTTGTGGGTAAAGGGATGGAGCTGAGCGTCGACGTCCTGGAGATACAACGAGCCAAGAGAGCCTCCGAGATCCAGAGCCAGGTAAAATGAAATGTTCTCAAGCCTGAGAGTAAGGTATTATATATATCTATTATATTATAGATAAAGATGGAACCAGCGAAAACATCACAGTCGACCAAACATTGTTTTCCAGTAAAGAGACAGATCACCTCTTGTGTCTGTGGTTCTGTCTTCACTACAGACTCTGTTTTCTTATCTGTTTAAAGTCCTGACACTGACGATCGTCTGGAGCTGAGGAGACAAAACATCAAGGATTTTCTTATTTGAGGCCCGAAGAGCTGAAGTTTGTTTGTTTGTTTGTGTTTGTGTGTCACAGAGGTTCTACAAGCAGACGGAGCAGCTCCGAGAAAACTCCTACGGGACGGTTACAGACACTCCTGAGCTGCTGCACGCCTCCTACCTCAAAGACGTCTACAGTCAGGTCTGTGCAGGATCCCTGCATTTCTAGCTCTTTGAATTTCCCTGACACGTCGACCAAAAGTTACCGAAATGACCAACAACCAAGATCCAACTGCGGCTCAAGCCGTCCGTCGTTCTTTTGTCCATGGTCAGACCAGCCGACCCTAAACTTGTCTGTTATCATTAAAGTCGATGCATCGAAACGGCCCCAGGGTTAGTGATGTCAAAATAAATCATTAACACACTGTATACAAACCAGTGTCCTCATAAACATGAATCATTACAATGAGGGACATTTGTTTCTCGGTATGATTTGAAGTCTGATACTTGATCTGCTGTCAAAACAGAAACACAGTAAATCAATAATCTTTACTGTATCAATTGAAAGAAATTACAAATCAGACGTCTCTCATAAGTAGTTTCAGTATTTGTGGGGAATGAACCTTTAACGTTCTGTGTCTGTGCAGAAGAAGTATAAGGACGAGGCCGAGCGGCTGAAGGGAAGTTACAGTCTCGTGTCTGAGACTCCAGAGATGGAGCGAGTCCGAGCCAACCAGCGACACATCAGCTCAGTGAGGACGAGCTTTAGCTCGAAACACGCGTTTGTTTTCCTCCGAACATCAACTCCAATCTAACGCAACGCTCTCTGGTGCCCTCTAGCTGCGATACAGCTGGGACTCCAAGCTCATGAGAGGTCTGTCGTCCTCAGTCACAGAGACGCCCGAGATCGTCCTCGCCAGAGAGAACGCCAAGAAGATCAGTGATGTAGGTTAACGTGCACGTGAAAGAACGTAAATTTCAGTGGCACAACTTAAGTGATTTGCAACAGGAAGTAGAGGTAAAGTAATAAAAAAA